CACTAGGAGAGCTCACCCTACTGGGAGCTCACCAGAGACTCACCTTGGGAGATGACATTTAACCATGGAGGAATTGTGTTCCTTCACATTCATATCTTGGCGCCCCAAGGCCCAGAGCTACAGAATGTGACTCTATATAAGGGTAGGGCCCTTAAAGAGATGATAAAAGTTCAAAGTGAGGCTTTTTGGGGGGGTCCTAATTCAGTTAAAAAACCAGGAGGTACCACAAGAGGTAATTCACCCACCTGCAGATACCACAGATGTGAGCACAGCAGAAAGGCCAAATGAGGACACAGAGGGAAGGTGGATTTCTAGAAGCTAAGTATAGAGGCCTCAGGAGAAACCAACGGGGTGACACCTTGATGGTGGACTTCTAGCCTCCAGAACTGGGAATACAAACTCTCATTACTTAATCCACTTAACTTGTGGAATTTTGTTGCGGCAGCCAGAACTGAGGGAGTAAGTGGGGACAGAGTAGAAAAAGGGATGGCAGAGGGTGTTTCAAGCAGACGAAAGAGCATCCTTTTATCAATAGATAAAACGTTCATTGTCTAATCTAGAATCTAATACAGAATAGCGCTTACGAATATGGGTCATGGAATCAAGAACGCTGATCTCTGCTCAACCTTGGGAAACTGTATGACTCTGGGCACTTCTGTGTTCTCATCTGTAAAATGTAGCCAGTACTAGATTCTATCTTTGAGTTGTTAGAGGGAGGATGGAAGTGTTTAACTGGAAAGTAGTTAGCTCAGTGCCTGGCTTGTGGTGCTGGAGATGCTAAAAAAAAAAAGAAAGTTAGCTCTCACTGATCATCTGAGAGCAACTCTTCATCCTCAGCATTTCGTTATATACAGTGACAAGCCTCTCCTGGTTCTGCTCCAACCTGAGCAAAATCATTTTCTCTCCCTTATTGGGAAGGAAGACCATCTGTTTCTAAAATCTGGATTCTCCATTTGATGTTACTGAGGATTGGATTTTGTCCTAATACCTTTTGCTATAGGCCACAGAAACCTATCATTAAAAAAAAAAAAAAAAAAAAGTAAGATTAGGCGTTTGGCAGTGAGGACTGGCTAGCCTAAGCAGAAAATATGATGGTTTGGGGAATGGTAGCTGGAGAAGGAGCCTCTCCTCTGCAATGTTTTGTCTGCTGTTCTTGGACTTTCGAGATCTAGAAATGCCAGCGGCCAGGAAAAGAGCCACACTGGGAGCACCATTAAGTGCAGAGGGCATTGGGTATCTTGAAAGGATTCTGCCTGCAGCACTGGAAACTTCCTTAGCCCCTGGACCATTGGCAGTCTAGCAGGATGGCAGTGCTGGGGCTGGGGGAGTCGAGAGAAGCTCTTGCTCTCCTACTTTTGCTAAGGCTGGGACTTTCATGCACCCCAAACCACTTCAGGGACAAGGCATCATGTTCAAGGACAGGTATTCTGTCTTTTCTCCTTGCTCTACTCTTAGTACAATACTGAGCCTTGTGGAACACATCCTTTATGTGTAGATTAGGGTTTCCAATTGAGTGGCTGAATAACTCGCTTAAGGTTGCACATGTCATAGTGAACACGTATCTGAAAGCCAGCATGTCCCTTGATTGGAGTTTTGCTTTTGCCAGCAAACTCTTGGGGGCAAGGGGTGTGTCTTACACTGTTCTGTGCTCCCTGGTACAATTGGCCCATGTTCAAGCACAGGAAGAGCTTATATTCCAATTTAAAGAGTTTAGTCATTGATTGATAAAGCTGTTAGTATGGATTCCAGAACAATAAACTCCTCATCCAATTCTGGCTACAAGGAAGCATCTACAACCATTCTCACTTATTCATTCCAAATATATTTAGGAATAGGTTGAGTGTGTCTTTTACATTAATGCTTGGCACAGTCGTGAACAAAACATGGATTTTTATTCATTCATTTAACATGGGTTTGTGAAGCATCTGCTGTATCCCAAGTATTCGCTGGCTGTGTGTCTAAGGGCCCGTTGGCTTATCCCTATGCATGCCAGTGTACACATGTGTAAATTGAGGAAAGTATATGTAACGTGTGTCATATTTACATTATATAATGCAAATTGAGCTGACTATTTTACTTCTCTGTTGCAATGTTGGGGATGCAATAGGAGGCTTATGAAATGTTGCTGATACCCTGACTTGGTTCACTCAGTTGTGAGACAGGAAGGTGCAAGGTGTCTTCTATGCACAGTATATATAATCCTGTCAGTTAATTTTCATGTCTTTGGAATGAATACAACATTTTAATAATGTGGGAATAATGAGATGCCTTATACAACTTCATGTTCACTTCATGTGCATTGAGAAAAGAGAAAAATTAGATGACGTTACTTCAACACAAATTCTCTATTAGTTAGGATTAGGTTCATCTGCATAAGAAGAAACACTCCTCCCCACACAAATTGCCTCAGACAAGATAAAATTTCTTTTCTTTTTCATGTAAAAGAAAAGAGCTGGCACCTCAGGACTGGGGTGACAGCATCGTAAAGCCATCAGAGACCCATCCACCTCCCCCAACACCCTTAGTTAGGCCTCCTGTTCCAGGCAACTGCTAACACTCCAGTCATCATGTCCGTGATCCAGGAAGCAATATGGAGAGGCAGGGAGAAGAAATTGTATTCTTTTATCTTTCAAAAAGACTTTGGTAAAACCCACATGGTACTCTATTTTTTCAGTGAGCAGTTAGGCCTGTGGCCACACCAGTGCAAAAAAGGCTGAGAAGTGAGGTCATTCAGGGGGGCAGTTACAATCAGCTGAAAATTGGGATTCAAACCACAGGCAGAAAAGGAGACTGCTGTCGAAGTTGGCAAGGTGCAATCTTTAACCTCTTCCTTCTGGAGAAGACACAGAGCTTTTTTTCCTTCTGTGTTTCTCCCACCCAGTGCAGAAACTGTACTTCATGTTTTCACATCTCCAACTGAAGGAACAGAAGCGATGACACCAGCGATTTTCAGCCTGGACCAGAACCAGAGAAGAAATGAGCACGCCCCCACCTCGACTCTCCTGCGCTTTGCCTTGCTCATCTTTCTCTCATCCTTTACTTCTCTGTCTTCCTAGCTCTCTGTATCTTCTTCACAGAGTTCATGTTCCTACTGTGCTCTGAGAAAATGACGCTTGCCCCAAAACTAATCATGGGGCAGTGTGTGCATTCCTGAAAAGGCGGCACGTGAGGGCTGCTGGGTGAAGCGTGAGCTTCTGTAGGGACTTGGAACTGTATTCACTCATTTCATGATTGCAGAGTGTACCTTTTTCTCTACATACTGCTCTTTTCTCTCCTTTTGAACATAGAGAGTTTATGTTTTGCTCTTCACTTTCATAATAAAGTAAGATAAATAAAATAAAAAACAAAGCCAAAGTTGCAACATACTGCATCCTTCTAGTCTGATTCTTGACTATGGCAGGATTGAAGAGAGTTTAAGATGGTGATGGGGTGAGTGGCTGGGAAAAGGGTTTGAGTCAGAGGACCTGGGTCAGTCCTGGGGTAACCCTTAGATTCTGGGCAAACCTGGCTGTCTTTATCTTTAAAATATGTTAAGATTGTCTACTTCTGGCCCTCCCTGGTGGCACAGCAGGTTAAAGCACAGCACTAAGAAACTAAAGCTACTTCAGCATGAGTT